TATGTCGTTTGATTTCTTGACTGCTGCTTCCATGAGTGTTGATAGTTGATCCAAGAAGAATGAAGTCCTTGACAACTTCAATCTTTTCTCCATTGATAAGAATGTTTATTGGTCCAGTGATGAGGATTTTTGTTTTCTTTACATTAAGATGCAATCCATACTGAAAGCTATGGTGTTTGATTTTCATCAGTAAATATTTTTAAGTCCTCTTCACTTTTGGGAGCAAGGTTTTATCATCTGCACATCACAGGTTGTCAATGAGTCTTCCTCCAATCCTGATACCACGTTTTTCTTCATATAGCCCAGCTTCTCAGATTCTTTGCTCACACAAACCACCACTGAGAGACTGAGCATGAAGTGCATGGGTAGGAAATCAAGGCCAGGTCTCCCGCAAGAAGGCAATAATTCTACCACTCAGTTCCATCCACTGATTTCAAAGGAGGGAGAGAGAAAGAAAAGGGAAAGATCGCTTTACGTTGGCAGAAGGAAAGTTTAAGTATCTCCTTCCTACCCTACAATACCACAAATATGGGATCACATTTTCCAAGTCCTTCTTAAACTCATGATAAAGACCGGGTGTGTTTTACAAGTTATACAATCACCCCAGATTTAAACTGTGTCTAGGATAAGTTACCAAAACCACCAGTCCAGTATGTAATTTCTTCTACACCAGTCAAATAGGAAATTCCTGGTTATTCTGTTTATTCCAACAGCGCTAACCAAGTATCAAAAACCCTGAATTCTGTATAAACTTCAGTAAATTTTCTCTGTTGATCCATCAAGATTTATCCACTTAATAAATATTTATTAAATATCTACCATGTCCAGATAAAAGATACTGTCACAAAGAAAAAAATTGGAAAATTCGGTTCCAACTCCTAAAATAACATCTGTGGAAAAGTCACATATCTACCGGACACAACATATAGAAATGAAGACCCAGGGGAACAGAGACTACTGTTTGTATCCCTTCATGGATCTCCCACTTAACAGGATTATTTCCATTTTTAGCAGTTTGTTCAATTAACAGTGAGTTGGCATATAAAACCTGGATTTTCTGACCCTTCACTGTATGGAACTTTAAAATGTTTATCATTACCATAAATGAAAGTAACAAAATAACTCACAATTAAGATCTTCAAAGAACAAATATACTTGATTGCTTACTTCACCTACAAAAGAAGAAGGTTGGACTAGATCACAGACAACTAGGTAAGGGCATTTCAGGCAACACCCTCCAGTACCACTCTGAGAGACCAGGTCCCAATCAAATATTACTATTCAATCTTAGCACTCTCATCACATTCGAAAATAGCACTCTGGTCCTTAACAAGATGGCTGTTTTGTGCTTAAATACCATGAAGTTGATTCCACCTCAGGACCCTGTACAGGGTTTCCAAGGAGTGGCTTGTGAGTTTGAACCACCAACCTTGTGGTTCAAGCCAACCCAGCACTTAGCCTACAGTGTCACACTAAGCAAAACATAACCTCTTTGCCATCTTTGACCTAGGAACGTGAAGTAAATTGTCCAAAAGTTTTATACTAAGTTAAAACAGAAGAGGAGTAACGTAATTGTTTAAGACTTACAAATATACAAAGCACTTTCTCTTCTATTATCATTTGATTCTCAACATCCAGTAAAGGAGGCCTGGTGGCACTGTGGTTAAGCACAAGGCTACTAACTGAAAGATCAGCTGTTGGAACCCACCAGCTGCTCTGAGGGAGAAAAATGTGGCTATCTGGGTTCCATAAAGATTTATAACCTTGGAAACCCTGTGTGGCAGTTCTATTCTGTCCTACAGTCAGAATCAACTTAACGGCAGTGGCTTTGGTTGGACCCAGGAAAGAATTATTTCTATGTTTAAAGAAACTTTAAAAAAAAAAGCCAACTTGGATTATGTGATTAGCTCAAAGTCATCCAACTAGTAGATGACTTGCTTAGACAAATCATTACAACCCTATTATGCTTTCTTACATGATAAAACAGATTAGCAAAGTCACAGTAGTAGAAGCTGGATTATTTGATACAGACACAAGTATGTCAAACCCAAATATTCTAAGCTCTTCTTTGCCACTAGGCTATACCCAACTATTTAGATCATACAAACTCCTTTCTTTAAAAAAAAAAAAAAAATTTATCTTGAGTAATTAACCAACTAATAAAAAATGTACTCAGTTAAAAAGGCATTGTTGTTAGCTGTCCGAGTCAGTTCCAACTCATAGTGAAAGCTAATTCAATCACAAAACAGCTTATACTTTTGAACTATTACATAAATAAAATATAAAACTAGAACTGACGAGTTGGATATGACACCAAAAGCAGTTTGATGTTTTTTTGTCTCAGACTTTCCAATGACTTGAATAAGTAAATACACTTTTTACTTTTTAATTCTCATCTCTAAGCAAAACATTAATAAGTAATTCAATACATATAATTTTACATGTATGAAATACTTTTATGACTTTCAGGAATGTAAAATAGCATTTATTTCCTTCTATGTTAAGATTTACTCCATTATATAAGTAATCATGCTATTCTTAATATTAAAGTCAATTGAGAGATCTTAACACATAGACTTAAACCAAAACATGTTTATGTCCTCTTCAGAGTTCTGACCAGCTTAAGTGGAAATTCCTGCCCAGGAATTCCTACTTCTGGATGATCTTTTAAACATTAGAACTAGTCCTTAATAAAAGGACACAACTTAAGAGGCTAAAACATGTATGTCTTACAATATTTGAAAGCATCCCTGAGACTAAGTCAAATGCTCATAATAATTTGAAAAGTCCTTTTTAAGCATCTCCAAAGCTTTTGCAACCAGCTCAAGAACATTTTAACCCCCATCAACACCAGACCACCCTAGTTTTACCCGAATCTAAGCAAATGTACATACATTGAAATTGTACAACCCACCTACCAAATAACCCAGTGCCTTTCAAAGTGAACCGCTGATCCTCTTTTCTGCTCTTAAATTATTCAAAATTAGCCTACAAAGAATTTCTGTAGACTGTTTGAACAAACTTTTCAGACCTGTATACCATGTTCTGTACATATGCTACTAGAAAGCGTCTGTGATTCCTCCTCCTCCTCCATACTTAAAACTGAAGAATAGAACAAGGAAAGAGCTGCAAAGTAGAAAAGGAACTTTTAGGTGAAGACTTAATTTACCAGTGACAGATTGACAACTATGCATGACAGCGATTAAACATCACTAAATACTAAAAAGTGTAGGTATTTTGTTCACAACTTCTGGCTTAGACAAACTTACAAGCATTTTTTTCTTTTAAAACTATCCCATTTTCACTGTTTTACATTTCTTAATATTAGTATTAATTTACCCAAAGTTTAGGGGAAAAAATGGTTAACTTCTGGCTGCAAGATCACTATAGTTAAGTCTCTAAAGCAGACATCAACAGTTTATAGGCATTACAATAAGTAACATTAAATTACATTTCATTGTAATTGCTGACTTTTCCAGGACATCAGTAACTTGACAAACACTGAGCTCAAATGCATGACTCAAGTTTTTCAAACTAGTTTATAACAGCTAATTATGTTTTTTTGGAATCAACTTAAGGACAACAGGTATACCCTAGCTTTAGACTGATCAATCACATTTGAAATATCTGTGAAATCCCCAAGGAAAGGGTTATTTAGAGACACATCATTAAACAAAAAATTTACGGTTGTCAAATAGAGCTTGGATTAAGAGAAACAAAATAATTCAAATTTAAAGTAAACTGAAGTGAAAACCCAACACAGACGTATCACACACACAGAAAAAATTTTAAACAAAACTAAAGTGGTCAACCTTGATAGAAAAACACATGAAAACTAACGTGTACAATGGAAATTTCTGAAATGAAAGAATTCCAATGACATGACATATTCTTGCCAAAGAGAGGGAATTTGTAGATTATATCATTCAAATCTCATTGTATTACATTATAAAGGTCTTGGCAAGGGTTGGTCATTAATTTTTAACACAAAGGAGATTCAAATCCAAAAGAACTGTAAGATTATCTCTTCTTCCAAGGAAGAAATGAAAACGAAGTAATTTACTTTATCCACAATTATTTAACTTAAAAGAAGGCCTATAAGGATGATAACGCAGAAAGGATCAGCATCCAGTCTACGAAGTCCCATTTCTCATGAAGTCGTGCACCAATCCGAAAAGAGAAGGTTATGGACACAAAACAGGCTTAGGAAAGGCTGAAAAAAATCTCCAATGAATGACACATCATGGTTTATTCTCTCACACAATTGGAGAAACAAAAAAGCAAAATATCACACCATATGTTTCATCGTTGCAATTAAAGACATAATTTACGATGGTACATTTAATTCTTTCCTTTGTGGCTAGGAAAAAAAACTGTAGCTTCTGTTTTATTGATTACACAGAGAAATGGGAGAAAGAAAGCTGCAATGCAACACAGGCTGCTACAGAGGAAGGGGGTCAGGGTTTTCCAAATTTCGCCCCCCCTCCTCGTTTACGCACCCAAACAACTTACTTAGTCCTACCTTTTACTGACACCCTAAAAAAAAAAAAATTTTTAAGGTGATAAAATTATTTACCTTCCCCCCACTATTGTGAAATTTCACCTTTGCTTAACTCCTTTACCTAGCACTTTAATACCTGCAGAGATTTCAGATCTTTCAAACTTTTCTTCCTTTTTTAATGAAACCCTAGAGTTTTGTAATCAAAAAGCATGAATTTTTTACAGATATCCCGGAAAAATACCTGTTTCCCAGCAACAAGCAAGCTTCGATTCTCGAACCCCTCCCCATCTCCAAGGTTTTGCTAGCAAAGACCGGGAGGAGGGAGCCAAGAGCAAATTAAATTTAGGAAGGGAAATCCTGGGTGATAGATGAGGATTTGAGGAACAGAGGAGGACAGTGGAGGGAGGCCCCTAAACAAGAGGGGGGTTGAGGAGGGTTACAGGGAAGAAAGCGAAATAAGAAGAGACAAAAGGGGGAGGGGGAAGGAGAGACTAGAGACCGGGAGAAGACGCGCCGGGCCGGGCGAGGGAAGGCGGGGTCCGGGGAAAGCGGGGTCGCGGCTCCCGCGGCACAATGGCCTGCCTGGCCCCCGCCCCGTGCGCCCCTCACCTCATGGTGCCGGCGGCGCCCAGGGTTCCCCAACAGCCGGGAGACGCCGAGCCGATGAGGGGGGTCTCTCCTCCAGGGGCGGGGACGCAGCTCGCAGACAGGAGACAAGTGTCCGGCTCCTCCTTCGGGAGCTACACCATCTCCACGCACAAAGCCGAGGCGCCAGCCGAGAGTAAGAGAAGACGGCGAAAGAAAAGCTGGGGAGGGGGCGAACAGGCCAACGCGCGGAGCAGGTCCCCCAGCGGCCGCCGCCTCCTCTTTCTTTGCCTCCTCCTCCGGGAGCTTCCTCGGCCGCCCTCAGAGGGGTGCCCGCCG